GCCCCTAAGTGTAACCCCGCGGGTTGCGGAGCATATACCTGGTATTTTCCTTGAAGATGGACATCTTGGTCCTCGGGAGGCGGAGCACCGCCTGGACCGAATATTCCATGAAAGACCGGAAACTGGGTTGACTGGGAGTGAGTCAGATTCAATATGTCCATGTTGATGGCAAAATCCATGCGGGTTTCTCTCATGTGCATTTGAGGGAGAGAACCAATCGTCAACGCCAAGCAGCTCTCAGAGGGGATGAGTGCCCTCCGTCTCAAAATGTGTCAACAGACGACATATGCACTGGGAGCATGTAGCGTGGGGATGGGGCGGGAGTCCACTCCACCGCACCCTTTGCCCAGCAGGGCAACTGCGGAATTAGTCGGAATGGATGCCTCTTTTGGTCATGCGTATCGCTCATGGAACGGTCCAAGGTTCCGCAACGTTGATCTGGAGTCCAGGCACGGTCGGAGAGACCTCTGGGGTTAGTTAAGGGGGAACCCTATGAATAGAGACGTGTCAGCTCAATTTGTACACTAGGGTAACTCCGGAGAGCAGACCCAGCACTTGGATGCTAAATCCTTCAGTTTGATGTCCAGCTTGGACAGGGGCCGTTTTGCGGTTCTCAGGGGTAGAAACCAACTAGGCGATACCTATAAGACATATCGGTCCATTCCCAGTGGGAACTTAGTCTTCTCCGCTTTCCAAGCGGTAATGCGCCGTTCGTCCCGAGGAAACATCTGTGTCCGCGTGTCACCGACATCCACTGGTTAGTCCCAGATAGAGTGCAAACCCTGTGTCAGGTGTTTGCGGTGTCCTTTCCGGACTCCATCATGAAGACTGATCCTCTTGATGAATCCACCCGTTAGCCAACGAGTACCAGGGGTGCTTGGTGTAGCGTCTAGGATGGCCGGTGGAGTGTCCCCGTAGGGTACCGATGGTTTCTGGCGGTGAGGTCAGCGGGGCGGCAAGAGGACAGGCCAAGTGACCTTCTGGGTACGAGAGATTTGTCCTTCAGCCGTGATTGCACAACTGCCATAGAGGTAACACTGTCGGAATGATACCTTGTGCGGCCAGCTGGGGGTCACCCAGCGTGCAAGAGGGGGTCACCCAACAAGCACAAGCATACCATGCAGTATAGGCCTGCAGGGGAGGGGGTCACCCTCAGTCTGATCATAATCGGACACTGTAGGTACAGTGGTGCGGCCAGCTGGGGGTCACCCAGCGTGCAAGAGGGGGTCACCCAACAAGCACAAGCATACCATGCAGTATAGGCCAGCAGGGGAGGGGGTCACCCTCAGTCTGAACATAAATCGGACACTGTAGGTACAGTAGTGCCATAGTGGTTAGCCGTATAATAAAGTAACCAGACATTGCCGGTCCAGCAGTGTAGACAGCAGGAGGGGGTCACCCTCATATAACCAGAACCGGGCATTGCAGATCCAGCAGTGCTGTAGGTAAGAGGGGGTCACCCTCAGTGTGTTATCATAGAGGTCTGTACACCCAGCAGTATAGTCAGCGAGAGGGGGTCACCCTCATTATGCTTATAACGGGACCCTGTAGGTCCAGCAGAGTAGTCCACAGGAGGGGGTCACCCTCAGTATCTGCGTATTGCCGGGCACTGTAAGAACAGAAGCTCAATCAGTGGGAGGGGTACCCTCTTTTATGGGAATACCCGGACGCTGCAGGTCCAGCAGTGCAGACTGCAGGAGGGGTACCCCCTCGGTATGATAATAGCAGGACATTGCCGGAGCATTAATATAGGAAGCAGGAGGGGGTCACCCTCAGCATTAATCTTACAGGACGCCATAGAGCCAGCAGGGTACTCATAGGTAGCCATGTTGCCAGAGGGAGGGGGTCACCCAGCCCACAATGGTGTCACACGTCCATTATTATGGTCCAGTAGCGGGTAGAGCCCCAGAAATATGGATGGGGGGGGTTCACCCCCCCAGTAATAACAGGTCTGAATGTGGGGCCAGTAGCCCCCCTGAGGGGTAGGAGGGTCCATAAAGCGAGAAGCTGACTCACAGACCACTCAGGTATTATATTAGGATACACTTTTGAAGTGTATGTGTAGTGGAAAATGTAAGTCCTATGCAGGAAGGGCAGCAAATCCTAGGCAGGGATGCTAGGTGCTGAAAAACAGGCCATTAAATTTTTATGAGAAAAAGACTGAACCTTAGAGAAAGACTTGATTAGCATATAACACATGTGGCATAGTCTTGTTAAACAAAGATTTATATTTGAGCAGTAACATGTCCCTTTAAATCTGAGATTCACATGTAATAGTAAAAAAGTGTGACAAGTCTACTGCTAAGATAGAGAACCTAGTCACATTGCATCAGACATAGTAAGCTGCAGTTGTGAGCATGCCTGGGACAGATCCTGCTATCCAGGATCTGTTACATATGCAGCATGTGAGACAGGCACAGTAAGTAGAGGGATAGCTGAAAAACTGGGCTATCTCCCCTGATATAGGGAGAGGGGAGGGTGGCCACATGGCCAGCAGGCCAGTTCTTGGGTGAGACCTGGCTGTTTGCAACGCACAGAGTCCATGTGGCTCTGAAAATGGCCGCCGCGGCTCCAACAAAATGGCTGCTGTGGCTGCAAAAACAGAGCGCGGCCTACCGCGTGGTGATCGTGCCACGGTAGAAAAAAGCTGCTCAGTAAGCGGCCAGGGGCCACGGGGAGCAGGTGGGCAATAAGGGAGAAGGGTATGGGCGACAGAGCCCAGCAGGGGAACCCGGGGAGGGGGAACAGATTACAGGCAGAGCCAAAGCATCATAGCAGGGACACCCATTCCCCATACAGCAGAGTGAGAAAACAGAATAAAGTAACCCAGAATAACAATAAATCAATGAGCAGTATACAGAATCTGTCAGATAAATAGCCTAAATACAGCAACAGATGTTAACAAGTGATACAGCAGCTACATAGCATGAAGTCTTATAGGAAATAACACAGAATAAACTGCCTAGATAAACCCAGCAATAGACTGCCTAGCTAAACACAGCAATAGACTGCCTAGCTAAACCCAGCAATAGACTGCCTAGATAAACCCAGCAATAGACTGCCTAGCTAAACAGCAATAGACTGCCTAGATAAACCCAGCAATAGACTGCCTAGCTAAACCCAGCAATAGACTGCCTAGCTAAACCCAGCAATAGACTGCCTAGCTAAACACAGCAATAGACTGCCTAATAAACACAGCAATAGACTGCCTAAATAAAACTAGCAATTAAGCTGCTTAAACAAACCTAACAAATAGACTGATTAAATAGACTGTTTGAATAAACAAGCAGCATGTAGAATAAAACAACAACCAAGAGCAGAGACAACTCTGAGTTGGTGAGTGCTCACCTGGAGGCAGCAGCAAAGAAAGAGGAAGTGGAAGAGCCTGCTTAGGGGTTTTATACTACTGTTGCTTTGTTCTGATTGGTTGTTTTGAAAAGTTCTGTTAACTGTTTCTTTGCTGCTGGAGGTTTCAGTAAAGAAGGTAAAGCAAATATGAAGCCTCCTGTCCTGCCATAAAATTAGAAACAGCAATAGCATACAGTGTTAAGAGTGTCAATATAACTGATAGTAACAATCAGATTGTAACAAAAAATCTAAATTGTATCTCAGTCCAGTATAAAATATATAGCAGGGTCCAAAGTGACAGGAGGTCCACAGTGTTGTTTGGGAACACAATCTTTGACTTTGAATCCCTTAAAAAAGACAGTAAATATATATAGTGCAATACTGTATTTAATGTCTTAAAACACCAATGGAATCCCCCTCCCCAACATAGGAACCCTTACAGAAGAAAAATGTGGTGCTTATCTCTAAGGACCACAATAAAAGCTTATCTGGCTGCAGTCTTATCTCTCCTCTGCTTCAAGGATGCCATCCGTGTTCCGGTTAGCATAATAACTTGTCATGCAGAGTGTTGACAGCAAAACAAGATAAAATGCAGGATGATGGATCACCTAATCAACTCGTTTCGCCCCTCTTAGTGGGCTTTTTCAAGATCATTCAATCGATTGAAAAAGCCCCCATAGTGTGGGTGAAACGCGTCTCGGGACTGGAGCTATTTACTGGGACATTCTTTATTTTATATAGAAGCAACTGGACATTTTTATTTAATTCTATGTTTTTGTTTTTAAATTTATTTTTATTTTTTTTCAAAAGTATTTATTTAATGTCTACCAGCGTCTTTTTTTTTTTTTTTTTTTTTTTTTTTTTTTTTTTTTTTTTTTTTTTTTTTAATTCTTTATTTTTCGTGCATAGATTAATTGAACAAGCATTCATGTCATGCCCCAACAGCAGAAACATGCATTGAAATTGACAGAGTATAACAGTTGTGGCATAGAAAAACAGATGCACATTTTTGTATGAGGGTTATAAAGAACTGTACTAGGCTAGTTACCAGGAAGCAAACCAGTAAGAATAAAACAAAGCCTATGTAGCGAGATTGCGTAAGGTTATGTAGGTTAGCTCGGCAGTTAAGCATTTAGTCGTATGCGTAGCCCCGACCCCAGACAAATTAGTTAGGTACTGTACTGCTCAAGGTGAAGATAGATCATTATTAAATGCAGATCCCCGCATTCCTGACATTTAGCCTGTTAAGATGGTTGATATGCTGAACACTCCTTATATGCTGGAAGTCACTCATACGCTAAACAATATTATATGCTGTAACATCAAGTCATAATATATAAACTTGGGTGGGCCTACAAGAAGCAAAATTGTCCTGCCCAGAGTGTGAAAAGAGGCTTTAGGATGTGAATGCTTGGGCAAGTTGTGTTTAACGGGGTAAAAAGAAAAAGTGCATGGCAACCGGTCTGGTGTGCTTGCTAAACAGGCAATGTATAAGTCAGTTTAATGTTAAGTTAATGTGAGTGTCCACAGGAAGGATGCGAGGGGATGTCATCTGGTCCAGCGTCCCCTAGTGTATTAAGAGTCCTGGGTGAGGATGGTGCCCGTGGGTTGCAGGGGATCCAGCTCGCTCCTCTGGTGCAGACTCCATTCAATCAGCCAATGCCCCTGCGGTGGTCACTGTATGCTCGTGGACAGAGTCCGTTTTTAGGTGCAGCGTAGCGCTGTGGAGGTGAGGTGCTTCTCCCACCTTGAGGTTGTTGGGGAGCTGCTGCTCCCTGGCTGTGTGCTTGAGGTCTTGTGGTCTTCCAGGAGGGATTGACGCGGTGAGCGCCGTTAGTTGAAAGCCGGGTGCGACATTTGTCCCCTGTAGCTTTCCGCTTGTGTGGCTGAGGCTTGTGATTTGGTGTGTGGCTACATAGGGTCTCACTCCGGTGTTTCAGCCGGTGCTTTGTTTTCTTTCGCCGGCCTGGGTGGCGTGTAGGGGTCGCGCCCCGTGTAGCTCTAGTCCCAGGTGGACTAGTCATTTGGTGCTGTAGAGGTTTGTTGTGTACCTTGCTCGGTTGGGGCACCTTCAGCTGCGCCCTGGTCTGTTGCCTTTTAGGGTGAGAAGCACCGTCTGGTTGTCGTGCTGTGGGTGTGTTAGCTGTAGTGCTGCCCGTTGGTGGCTTTTGGGGCTGGTGTCTGGCCTCCATGCTTGCCCAGAATCGCCTGCATATGGCCTCAAAGCTTGCTTGAAAGGCAATTGCCCACTCGCTGGGGGTCAGTCGCTTTGTGCGGGTATCTGAGCCGGCCGCCATTTTAGACTGGCCTCGTGTCTCTCACTTGTCGTCTATGTTCCCTTTAACTGGCTATAGGTGAGTACCTGCTTGAATCTGGCTTCCAGGCTGTGCTTGGTTAGGTGGGGTGCGTCGTGGTAATACAGCTGGGGCCCGCTTTGTTGTCTGTGGGGGGACCAGGATGACCCCCGCCGGTCCGTGGGGGGGGGGAACGGGGTCCCCTGCCGAGGGTTGCTGCGCACCGTGGCCGAAGGAGAGCGGCCGTCTCTCCCGCGATATCCGCGTGCGTCGGCTTCAGGTTAGGCCGCGAGGCCCATCTGCTGTTCCATTGGGGGGAGCTACAGGATTCGGGTATCGCTGTGTGCCCACTCGGAAGCAGACCAGCCCCCGGGTCTCAGAGGGTTGTTTTCGGCAGAGAGATTGCTGTTGAGGTGATTTTTATGGCCGGCAATGTCGGAGCTGTGATCAGGCACGTCCTGCCATCTTGGCCGCCAGGCCCCCCCTTGTTTTTAAATTTAAAGTTGCAATAAAGGTATGTGTTTTAAACCAAGTCCCATCAGCTTCTAACTTCATCTTGCTGCTAAAGAAGGGCAGGTGCCCCCCTCTAGAGGTACCCAGGTCTATCATCCAGAGCCAGGTTCTCATTGGCTCAGGAAAAGGTGAGCACAACCATAACCACTGTGTTTTTTATTTTGGTTGAAACATAATACACTAGGAAGTCTCCCTTTCTCTCTCCTTTGAGGAAATCCATTCCAAGCAAAAGGGTGCAGTGTCTCCATACGACACCACTGTGCAAGTGATTTGAGCCTGTCCCTTTAAGGCTCTGACCAATTCCCATCAGCTTCTAACTTCATCTTGCTGCTAAAGAAGGGCAGATGCCCCCCTCTAGAGGTACCCAGGTCTATCATCCAGAGCCAGGTTCTCATTGGCTCTGGAAAAGGTGAGCACAACCATAACCACTGTGTTTTTTTATTTTTTGTTGAAACTTAATACACTAGGAAGTCTCCCTTTCTCTCTCCTTTGAGGAAATCCATTCCAGGCAAAAGGGTGCAGTGTCTCCATACGACACTACTGTGCAAGTGATTTGAGCCTGTCCCTTTGAGGCTCTGATCAATGTGAGTTTGACTACTTGAATTATCACCAAGATACATTACCACCTGTGGATTTACACTATATTGTGTTTTATTTTTTGTTTCCTTTATATGTACTGATATACATCTGAGATTTAACCCTCTTTTAGGGTAAGTTTATACCTTTAGCGCTCCACTCATTTGATTAGTAGAGTCTGGACGTTATATCCAGATTGTACTAATACCCTGGGTTGTCTACTTTAAAAAAAATCTGTACATGTGAGGTGTGATTCAGAGATTTATGAAAGATAACAGTGTTACAATGTTACTATTGATACATTTTAAAATTATATATTTTGAAACAGCAATTTCCTATTTGCACGTATAGTACAAAAAAAGCACATAAACACTGGGTGTTTTTACACTCAGGATAACATTTTGAATCTATTTAGCAGGTTTTTTCATTGGCTTTCGTAGGCAAGTAAAAGATTTTCCAAGCAAAAGTAAAAAAACATGTTGTTTTTTTTTTTCAATTTTTCACCATATTTATTTTTAAAGGAAATTATGACATGATACAAATAATGGTATGTAAAGAAAGAAAGCCCTTTTTGTCCTGAAAAAAACAATATATAATTTGTATGGTAACAATAAATGAGAGAGAGGAAAATAACAGCTAAACACAAACACCACAAAATTTTTAAAACAGCCCTGGTCCTTAATGTACAACATGGCCAAAACAGTCTGGTCTTGAAGGGGTTAATATACTCCGCTAGTACTACATTCTCCTTTAATGATAAGGGATAAACAGTACCCTTGGGTGGTATAGTACCAGGGAGTAATTTATATCACAATCATAAGGGCGATGTGGGGGTCGTTTATCAGCTTCTTTCTTTTCAAACACGGCTGTCAATTCTTTATATGGCTGCATAGTTACATAGTTACATAGGCAGAAAAGAGCTGTGTCCATCAAGTTCAGCCTTCCTCACATTTAGTTTTTGCTGTTGATCCAAAAGAAGGCAAAAAAAAAACAGTTTGAAGCACTTCCAATTTTGCAACAATCTAGGGAAAACAATCTCTCTTGACCCCAGAATGGCAGTCAGATTTATCCTTGGATCAAGAATCTATTACCCTACAGTTGAAAAATTATATAATTGATTATTCTGTTTTTGCAAGTATACATCTAGTTGCTGTTTAAACATCTTTACAGACTCTGATAAAATCACTTCTTCAGGCCGATAATTCCACATCCTTATTGTTATTACGGTAAAAAAACACTTTTTCTTAGATTTGCCTTAGACTAAACTTTTTCTTAGATTTACCTTAGACTAAATCTTCTTTCTTCCAGTCTAAGCGCATGACCTCGTCTCCTATGTAAAGTCCGGTTTGTGAATATATTTCCACACAATGGTTTGTATTGGCCCCAAATATATTTGTATAATGTTATCATATCCCCTCTCAGGCGATGTTTTTTTAAACTAAAGAGGTTTAAATTTGTTAACCTTTCTTCATAGCTGATATGTTCAATTCCTTTTATTAATTTTGTAGCCCACCTCTGCACTTTTTCTAGTGCCATAATATCCTTTTTTTTTTTTTTTATGTATAATTTTTTATTGTTAATGTTTTATGCATATATATATATATATAACATTGGGATACAGAAGAGAGAAGTGGGAAAAAGGGAACAGTACATAATTTAGTCTATAATTACACACTATTAAAAACAATATTATTCACATAATAATATGCGTTAATTCATGGAAAACAATTGATTACAACAATATTCTTCAATTTCTTTTCCTTTCTCTATTTTTTTTTTTTTAAATCAATATTCATTTGCTTAAAGTTAAGAGAAACCACTGAAAACTATCACTTCCTTTAGGTCCAAATCAAAAAAGTAATCTACATTCTTATAAAGGATTGTATCAGGGAGGGGTGGGGAATGGGGGATAGAACAACAGCCTATTGAGCTAAATATCTTTTGAGTCTAGCTCTCATTATAGTCTTTAAACGTTATGAGAAGCATAAAGGGGAGAAAAATATAATAACACCTTAAACATATCTATCTCTTATTTCTAACCATTTATTCCACCTTTTTTTTGTACAAAATTTCCTGTCCTTTCAAACGACCAGCCATCATTTCATAAGTACATGAGGAGTCTAGTCTTATCATTATCTCTGACAATGAAGGAGTCTGTATTTTTTTCCAGCTGTATGCAATAGCCGTTTTAGTTGCTATCAAACTGTGAATGATAATATAAATAACCTCTTCTGGGAGCGGTACAAAAAACATATGTAATAAAAACTTTTGGGTGGGGTAGGTATCACTGCTTTTTTTTGAAAAACCTTCCCAATTCTTTCCAAAGCTTAGCAATACCTGGACATAACCAAAGGTTTATTTGTGTATTTCTGCTGGGGCGTTCTGGACTTTCAGTATGGTAGTAGTGCTATCCCAGATAGCTATGCCATGGAGCCTATTTGTGTAACAAAAGGCTATGGAAAAGACTTTGGCTCCATGGCGATTGAATTGTATGTATGTGATCTGAGCGCCATTCAATAATAATGTGCACTCAGATCTAAGCTATCTGGGGATATGTTGCATGTATATGTTTTATATAGTAATTGTAACATTGTGTAATTTTATGTCTTTTTGTAACCATGTGGTTAATGGAGTCTTGCCTCTGTCCTGGGAGAAAATTTGATTACTTCCCAATTATCTCCAGGATAGAGAGGAGGGATTGTGATGTCACTGTGGGAGTGTTTTGTTTGTATTGTCTGTGATTGGTTATACTGTGTCCCACCCTGTGGGATGTCCCCTTGCATGGGGACTTGCATAAAAGCCAGTGTGTGGTCATTAAACCCAGATCATCTTGTACCTTTCTTGAGCCTTGGCTCATGTTTGGGGGAAGGGATACCTACACTCTGGGGATTGCTATAATCACATACTCCCCAGAGTAAGCTCTTGCAATAGCTTGATTTGTCCCTGCTACGCTCTCTGGATTTAGGAGAGGTTCACCCACTGGGAGCTGGATCCTGGTTGTGGATCCAGGGTGGGTGGAAACTGCAAGACCCCGGCGCAGCTGTATCGCTGGAAGTGGGGTCTGCAGTGCTGATGGTGTCGGTTAGAGTGCTTGGAGTCCTCGGCAAGCGCTAGGAGCATCGATTGGCGGAGGTACTCAGTCGGAGTGCCAGCGTTCCATCACATAGAGTGCCCTCCTGTTTGAGGCAGCGCCAACATAAATTTGATGCCCCTGCATATATATGAGCTATCCTAGTTGGCACCAGGTACCAACGCATATTCAATTTACAATATGATTCCCAGTGTTGTAAATTACATGATGCCTTTTTGGTTAGCTTTATTGCCTGATGCCATTTGGATAAAGAAAATTGATAACCTAGATCTAACTCCCATTTCTGCATATATATAGGTTTTGCTTCATTCCCTATATTCATAATGTTATTATAAGATAATGATAAAGTTTTAATAATCGGTAATTTAGCCATACATTTGTATATCAAAGGCGGAAGTGTTTTCATTTCTTCTATTTTTATATTAAATCCATGAAGTATATTCCTAATGCGTAGGTAGGAAAACAACTCTCACTGAGGTATGGAATACTCTTTAAGTATTTCAGGGAATAGCTTAATGCCTATAGTATTATAAAAAAAACGAACCTGTGTGACACCATGATTTAACCAGGTGTCCACTCGTAAGTCTGATGTGAAGGCAGTAATAATCTGTAGCTGGGTTGCATATAGCAAAACCTTATCATCTACAATTTTGGGGATAATTTGTTTCCAAATTTGAAGTAGTGTTTTGGTAACTGGTAGCATATCATTTTTCTTCCCTATTTTTATTTTACCTGTCCACAAGGCTTGTGGTAATGTGCCTTGATGCATGCAAGCGTTTTCTAATGCTAACCACAAAGGGGAAGGTATTCGTTCTAATACTGA